TCTCTTTTTATGTTCTTTTGACCTTTACTTTTGAAAATTTAACTGTAATATGTTGTGAAGAGGTTATTTTCTGGTCATGTCTATTTAGGGTTCTAAATGCCTCCTGTACGTGAATGTCTATGTCTTTCCCAGGATTTGGGAAATTTTATGCTGTTATTTCACTGAAGGGTTTTCTATGCCTTCAGTGTGTAGCTCTTCTCCCTTTAGTGTGCTGATTATGTATACATTTTATGTTTGAATGCTGTCCTACAGATCTTGTATGTTCTCTTCATTTTTTTTATTGCTGTCTGAATGTAATATTTCAACAGACTTATCTTCAAGCTCTCATATTGTGTCTTCTGCTTTACCTGTTCTGTTGTTAAAGCTTTCAGTTTTTTAATCTCTTATTGAACTTTTCATTTCCAAGTTTTCTACTTGATTCTGTTTAAAAATCTCTCTTGCTTTATTGAAGTACTCATTCATATCCTGAATTGCCTTCCTTAATTCATTCAACTGTTTAAAAATCATTTCTTTGATTTATTTGTCTGGTATTTCCTCCACTTTAGTATTTTTGGAACTTCTTACTATGGAGTTATAAACAGTCAGAAAATATACCTCATCTAAGTGGCCAAGGAGGTGGCACTTGTTTTTTCACATTTCTTGTGTTGCCATTTGCACGTCTTTGGGGATGGATATCTTTTCCACTTTATGTGATGGCCTTCTTGGCTTTCTTCTGACAATGTTTTGGCAATGTATTGGTTTATTGTGTGATGCTGAGTTTATTTACAGCTGGATGACATAGTACAATCTCTTTGTAGCTTCTTTGATTGTGATTCATGAGTTTGTATGCAGAGTGTATCGCATCAGTGTTGGAGAAGCCCACTGTTTTTGCAAGTCCTGTTTGAGTGGGGACATTCTGGTACTTCAGGCAGATGTGGTGTAGATAGCAAAATGTGGAGGATACACCTTTTAAAATTACTCCTCCTGTGGGATTGGAAGCCCCTATCAAGAGTTGGGGTTATCCATGGATTCTGTTCATAGTAGCTCTTTTACTTGAAAACAATTCTGATGCTGGTTGCTCTCATTGTGCTGAGGGGCTGGAAACTTTTGTCCACTGATTGTAGACTGGTACAAATCTAGATACCTCGTGGGGAGGGGTAGGGAGTAGAATCACAATTCTCATTGTGGAAGACTCACTTTCAATTTTATGAGCCCTACACAATCTGACCAGGTGCAACTGTGATCAATGTAGATGACTTGGGTAGATGCAATGTATTTTCTGATTGTGTATTTTCTCTATGCAGGTACTGCCCAGGAGGAGGACTTCAGCCTCCGCTTAGCTGTGCCTTCTGGGTATGGATTAATATCTGGGAGCTTGTGTCCCTTCTTTCATTTAAGTGGAAGTATCGGCCAGAGTTTAAGCAGGACTGGTTTGTGGTAGGAGCTGGGCTTATCTCAGAGACAAAGTACCTGCTTAATGTGCATGAGGCCTTGGGCTCAATCCCCAGTACTGGAAAAAAGTAAAAATTAAATAAAGAGCACAAAAGGGGGAAAAAGCCCCAATAAAAGTAGAAATAAAGCGGGGGGAATGAGAAGAAGGTAAAGTTGAAATTAAAAATAAAATAAGAGAATAAACAGTCAAAACAAGTCAAAATTCCTCTTAGCTTCTTGGAAATGCGGGTGAGGGTGGAACATCTTGGACTATGTCAATCTGATTTCTCTGTGTCTTCTAAAGTTGGGGGTTTGTCAGGTATGGAGGTGTAGTGAGTTGTGGCTGAAGCTTGTTGAAATTCCTCTCAGTTCTTATCAAATGAGTTGAGGTGGAATGCTGGCTACACCTGAGGTATAATCCAGTATATTTTCTTCAGAGGTTATTTTCTAGGTGCAGTGTGGCAAATGTTAAAGCTCCTAGTTACAGCATTGTTAAGAGTTTCCTGAAAAATGTAGTGAATTTCCTCTCTAAAGCTAGTTTGTTATGTAGACACCAGGTCATGTATTTATTTAAGTTGTTTGGTAACAGGGTGAAGCCTTCTGCACCAGGCTGTGGCTCTTTCTCTTTCACCTTTACCCTCCCTGAAGGGAAAGTCCTTTTTTCCAGCCAGTTGTTGGGTACCAAGTGCTGGGGTATTTCACTCCTCTTGCTTTGTTATTCTGCTTAGTCTCTGGATTTCACTAGTTTTCACTTTCTCTGGTATTGGTTTCCAGTGCTTACCTACAACTGATCACCTCCTTATACAGTTACTTGTTGCTTTTGATCTATCCTGTGCAGGTGTAGAATAGTGCCGGGTGCCTCTATTCTGCTATTTTGCTTCTCCTTCTTTTTCTTCTTTTTTTTATAGTATCTTTTGAAGAACAGAAGATTTTAGTTTTAATGAAGCCCATTTCTACTATTTTTTTCTTTTATGGTTATTACTTTTACTATTTTATTTAAGAAAGTTTTACCTGTATGAATATTGCAAATATATTCTGTGTTTTCTTCTAGTAGCTTTAGGGTTTTAGCTTTTTGTTTAATCCTATCAGTCATCTAAAATTAATTTTTTTCTTTGTGGTGCTAGTGGTCAAACCAGAGCTTCACATGTACTAGGCAAGTGCTCTACCACTGAGCTGTGTCCTCAGCCCCCAGATTAATTTTTGTATTTGGTATGAAGTAGAAGTCAGGGTTATCTTTCCTATTTATATATATAGTTGTTTCAATACCATTCATAGAAAAGATAGTACATTTTCTATTGAATTATGTTGGTGCGTTTGTTGAAAATCATTTGAGTGTGTTTTATGTGTCTATTTCTGGATTTTTCTATTGTTACCATAATTGCAGTTTTGATCTTCACTTTGACTTAAATTTATTTAGTAGTATACTGACTTCTTTCAAAACAACTCTGACTTGCAACTTAGAAAACCATTGTTTTAGGGTCATATCAGTACTGAGATTTAATAGTTATTCACTTAAATAGAAATGTCTGTTGTTTAAAGTAGTAGTTTTAAACTTAGCAGTATACCTAGGGAGATTTAATTTTTAATTTTTTTCATATTTTTAATTGGTGCATTATAATTGTGCATAATGGTGGGATTTATTGTTACATATTCATGCATGCATGTGATATAACAATATGATTTGGTCAGTATCATTGCTCAATATTTTCCCTCTCTTCTTCCACCTCCCTGGTCCCTTTTCTGTATTCTAGTGGTCTCCCTATGCTTGTCCCTTTTTTCCTGTATAGCTTCCATGTGTGAGAGAAAAAATAATACTCTTGACTTTCTGATTATTGCTTATTTTGCTTAATATAATGTTCTCAAGATTTATCTTGCAAATGACGTACATTTTTTTTAATGGCTGAGTAAAAAACTTCATTGTGAATGTATATCATATTTTGTTTATCCATGGATGGACACTGAGGCTGGTTCCATAGTTTGGCTGTTGTGAATTGTGCTGCTATAAAATACATGAATATGCCTGTACCACTATAGTATGCTGACTTTAATTCTTTAGGTTAAATACTTAGGAGTGGTATAGCTGGGTCATGTGGTGGTTCTGTGTCTAGTCTTTTGAGGAACCTCAATACTTATTTCCATAGTGGTTATACTAATTTACAATCCCACCAATATTGTAAAAGTATACCTTTATTTCTAGATCCTCCATAACATTATTATTTGTATTCTTGATGCCATTCTAACTAGAGTGATATGAATTTCAGTATAATTTTGATTTGTATTTCCCTAACTGCTAAAGATGGTGAACATTTTTTCATGTTTGTTGACCATTTGTATTTCTTCTTTTGAGAAATGTCTAGTTATTTGCCTATTTATTAGTTGGTTCTTTTTTTGGTGTTGAGTTTTATGGGTTCTTTACTCTTGATATTAATCCTCTGTCAGAAGAGTAGCTAATAAAGATTTTCTCCCATTCTGTAGGTTTTTTCTTCATATTCTTAATTGTTTCTTTACTATGCAGAAGCTTTTTAATTTGATGCCATCCCATTTATTAATTCTTGGTATTATTTTTAGAGTTTTAGGGGTCCTATTGAGAAGGTTGTTGCCTATATCTGTATGTTGGAGCGTTGGCCAGTTGCATAGTTTCTGGTAGAATTTTTTGGTCTTTGATTTATTTTGAGTTGATTTTTGTGCAAGATGAGAGGTGAGTATCTACTCTCATTCGTCTACACATGGATAACCAGTTTACCCAGCACCATTTGTTAAAAAGGCTGTCTTTTCTGCAGTGTAC